AAACAAAATCACAATGCACATCAGACAACTCTTGCCGGTGCCCAGATGTGCATCTTTGCAATTCACTAACTGGGTTTCATTGCATTTCTGCAGTGCAGCAATGGATTCATAAACATATGACATCATGGAATCTAGACCATAATGTACAATTTCACCCCAAGATGCCACCTGAACATAAAAGTCACAGAAAGGCAACAAGAATGGGGCTAGCCAGGTTGCCATCAGTAGGGAGTATCACAACATGGCAACAACCACTGGCAGGAGGATCCCATTTTTAATTATTATTGACTGAGAGTCTGTGTGGTGTAATGGTTAGAGTGATGGACTAGAACTGGGAAGACCCAGGTTTAAATTGTTGGCTTGCTTTACAACTCATTGAGTGACCCTGGGCAAATCACAATCTCTCAGCCAAACCTACCTTACAGGGTTGTGCGAGCAAATGGGGGGTATGGACTGCTTGGAGGAAGGCTGGGATAAAAGAAAATGCATTTGATGAATCTTAGTCCTTCTGGGAATGAACAGTGGGGTGAGGATAAAATAATAGGCTGAATTGTATTCTTAATCCTGACTAAAGTTATTAAATCAGTTTGGCTTCCTGACATGTTGACTCACCGTTCAACAACTCATTGGGTCTGCTCTAGTTAACCGACAAGATTCCAACCAAAAGGTATCCTTAAGGAAAGATTGCTGATGTTCCTTAATGTCTCTGGCACTGAAATGTGTCCTTCTCTGCCCAACAGCTGCTGCTGCTCACTTCAGCTTCTGCCAGAACCTTTTGGATCACACGGTTTCGGCTGAGAACCTCAATTACCGCCTGCAGAGGAATTCGGGCAGCAGCCTCACCTGGCATGATGGACGGAGTCAGAGGTTGGCCGGAGGAAGGACCGTCAAACTCCTTCAGCAGCCAGGAACCGAGGGCTCCCAGGTGAGATGATGGCAGGTAGTTTTGGATAGCGGTGGATTAGGGACATAACATAGAGCCTGAGGTCAAAAAGTACAATTTGGCCACCCCAAAATATAGCTGCTGCACTGTCTTCTCTGTCAGGACAGGCTCTATTTCAAGCTGTGGTCAAGAAAGCAGCAAAGACGGATCTCTTTCGGCAGGCCTTCCCGGAATAACTGTGGTCTGGTGATAGATGAGTTTTTAAATTTGTTATACTGATTCCTGTGTCATTAAGGATGTTTTTATTTTATTGTTGTATTTTTTAACTGTCTTCTGGTTTAATTCTGTTTTAAGGGGATGGGAGGGTGGATTATGGGACGAGGGAATGTTTTAATCTGTTTGTTTTAAAATTGTTGTACCCCGCTCCGATTGCCGTGCAGAGGGGCGGGCTATAAATAAAAATTTATATTATTATTATTATTATTATTATTATTATTATTATTATTATTATTATTATTATTATTATCCTGTTAGTGACATATGCAACATACAACTGCGTATTTCTTTTTCGGATTGTTGTGCAGTTTGCTCTTCCTCCTTCTGCAACAACCAAAGCCCACCCCAGCAGTATATGCCATTTCACTGTGACTGTCTCTCCTTACTCTTCACAGCCATTTTGTGGCTGATAGACAGCAGAGTGGGTCAGAGAAGTGCCTGGCTTAGGAGTGCCAGCTCTCAGGGCCTGATTCTGAGTCTTCATTTTTCATGGGCCATCTCCAGGTGGGAGGCAAGGGTGCAAAGTGTCCACTTGGGGAGCTCAGCTCTGGGCAAGAGGAAAGGATGGTATGCAAATCTCCAGCTCAGCTAGGAGAACACCAGCTTGCTACCATTTCCAAGGATCAATTGATTTGTTGGTGCAACTTACAAGGACTCTCCAGGGAGGTCTATATGTTTACTTCACTAGCTTCCTCCTTCCCTCCTGGTTTTTGTGGCACTGGGACTCATCCTCATCTCTGCATCCACCTTCTGGCTAGCAGCAAGCAGGGTAGGGTTCATGTGCCTTATCCTATCTCACTAAGGTCTAATCTGCACTGCAGAAATAATGCAATTTTTTGTTTGAGTGCTGTCACTGAGCCATGGTAGTCAAAGCAATGTCAAACTACATTATTTCTGCGGTGCAGATTAGATCTAAATCAATGAGAAGGAACAAAATCCTTTCATTTCTCCTTTCTCTGGGAATAGCCCCTTTAGTAAGATTTCTGTTTTTGATTTCAAAGTGGGGAAATATGTTATCTGTGTGTGTGTATGTGCTTGAATTATGAGCGGTGAATGACTGTAGTTAATACTTACCGTAATGCATAAACATTTAAACTTTGCCAGGGACCATTCATAGGTCTCATCTTTTGGCTGGAAATCTCAGGGCCTGGGACAATCCTGAACTGGCAATCCTGAACTGGCTATGCCTTCATAGCCAGATGCAGAAGAACTGCATCATCCTCTGAGATCTGTGGAGGAACCAGGTGGAGCTCCGCAGATGATGTGATCATTGTGTGTGTGAACGCAGTGGTGGGCAATTGCATGGGAGCCAATGACCACTTCACCCCAACTTAACCCCAAGACCACTACCTTCACACATAGCAAACCCAAATTCCTCTATTTTCCTCTACAGGCTCTCCCAAAATAATGACAGGAACTGATCCAACATCACAACATTTTGACAGGGAATGAAAAGGAAGGTTGAGCTATGGGGAGTATTACAAGTTTCTGGACTGCTTATGAGTGTGAGGTGGGAGTATTTTCACATATTTTCTGTTTGGAGGAACTTTCTCCATGCTTTTGAGGGAGAAAAATTGCCCCCAAACTGTGCTGGCATAGTTTTTAAATGGTGGTAAGAGAATTTGGTAGGATGGTGTGGGGCTTCCGGGGTTAAAAAAGTAGAACGCAAGGCTTCACGTTGTGCAAAGGCCACATTATGTCCACCCCTATTGTAGCCAGACACAGAACAATTACAGCCGGCCCTTAACATTTGTAAGGGTTAGGGTGCAGGAACCTTGCAAATGTGGAAAAACTGAATATATAGGCCTGCTAATTGTTTGTGAGAGAAAACACTTTTCTAGGCATTTCTAAGTCCTCTAGTGCACTTTCAGTGGACGTTGACCATCAAATTGCACTGGAAAACCTAAAGATGCTTAGAGAGAATATATATTACTTCGGTTGTGTATAGGGCAGCAGTAGAGATGGTGGCAAATGCAATAATCCATGAATAATCCAATTTGTAAATGCTTAACCTAAATGTGAAAGGTTGACTGTCCACTGGGACATCAGGAGAACCTTTGTGAATCTTGGCAGATGATGCCATCATTTTGCGTCTGGCTCTGGAGACATAAGCAGATGTTTCTCTGTTCCCCCTTTCCCTGCTTTCCACTATCCATTGAATGGCCAGGGAGAGCTATCACGTGAAAACTTTGCAGACTGCCAGAAATAGTGCAAATTGAGTCCACTTTAACTGCCCTGACTCAATGCTAGGGAATCATGGGAACTGTAGTTTATTGGGGCACCAGAGCTTTCTGACAGAGAAGGCTCAGTGTCTCAGAAAAACTGCAATTTCCATGATTCCCTAGCCCTGAGCCAGGGCAGTTAAAGTGGACTCAGTTTGCACTATTTCTGTACAGTGAGTCTTGGGGGTGGTAAGAGGAAAGTTGTAACATGTTTCACCTGCAGAGATTTTACACTGTGGCCAGTGACGTATTAATTTGGCGTCTTTGACAGTAGAGAACTGTCTGCTGTCTACAGTAGGGGAAACTTTGGGTCAGGATGAAACCCTGAGAATGCCTACAGAAAGCCCAACTCATTTGTGCTTCATGCTCAAAAACATCTTTCATATCTCAGCTCCTTTTGTACGGGAGGCACTGATGCAGCGTTGCATGGAGTGGGTGGTGGATGTTAAAGTGTATACTGGCTGCTTTCATTCTGGAAGGAAAAAAGCCTCCTTTTCGCAGGCTAAAAAATTGCCTCCAGGTGCCAGGCTGCATCTGTTCCATTTTTGGGTTCCATTTCAAGCAATGTATGCCAGTTTGGGAAGGCGAAGGATAAACTGGAAGGAGATAGAGAGGCAAATTCAGAGAGTTGCCAATTTTAGGGGGGGGACCCACAAAAACAAGAGATTAAACACCCAGAGTAATACACAGTTTGCTTCTGTCTGGGGGAAATTGCTAGTTGCTCTGGGTAACTATTACTCAGGAGCAAGAAGGGTTATTTGGATAATGGTAGCTGTCGGGTTTGGTGTCTTTCCAGAAGCGATGCTCTCACTCTTGGTCACAGATTTCTTGGGCAAATTCTACTTTCCCCCTTAGAATTAGGATGTATGAAAGCTATCTCCGCCCCCCCCCCCAAACCCACACATACATAAACATTTTACACTGACTTTTGGATTTTTTACAGCTTGCATTTTCTTAGAGATCCTCGGCTCAGGAATTTTTTTAAAAAAAATCACAGCTGATCCCAAGATGAAAAAAAGAAAAGGGGGGGGGGAGATACAATAGAGAGAAAAAAGCTGTAGCAAAGTATGGGTGGAAAGACATAGGGTTTGGAGTATATTTCCTATAGGGGTGGTGATAAAAATTCTGGGACTTATTATTCAAAGGTGGGAATCATAAGGCTCTCCAGATAGTCTTGGGCTAAAAATCCTATCAGCCTTAAGCAGCACAAGGTGAGGAATGCTAGTATGTAGTTATAATCCAGCAAGGATGGATGATGGCATCATGATTTGGTGTCCAGCTATAGGGACATAGCCAGATACATCTCTACAGCCTCCCACTCTCCACTAGCCACAAAATGACCATGTCTAGGGTCTCCCCACAAGGAATTGGTGATTTTTAAGCAGGTTGGGGGTCACTGTACAAGGGAGGTGTTTTAGCCTTCCCTCGGATTACATATGTCCTGTGTGTGTGTGTGTGTGTGTGTTGGGTGCCTTCAAGTCATTTCCAATTTATGGCAACCCTAAGGCAAACCTATTGTGGGGTTTTCTTGTCAAGATTTGTTCAGAGGAGGTTTGCTATTGCCTTCCCCTGAGGTCCAGAGAGCATGCAGCTTGCCCAAAGTCACTCAGTGAGTTTTATGGCCAAGCTGGAAATCGAACCCTGGTCTCCAAAGTTGTAGTACAACACTCAAACCACTGCACCACACTGGGCTCTGTATGCCAGCAATATCTGCAAGTCAGCATGATAGCGGTTTGAGCATTGGACTATCAATCTGGGGAACCAAGGTTCGAATCCTCATTCAGCCATGGAAACCCATTTGGTGACCTTGGGCAAGTCAAACCTCAGAGGAAGACAAAGACAAATCCCTCTGAAAAAATCTTGCTCAGAAAACCCCATAATAGGGTTGTCGTAAGTCAGAAACAACTTGAAGTTGCATGCCAGCAAATGCCAGGGATGATGCTGAGCACTTAGACTGGGAGCTTTAGCTAGAGACTCATCTCAAATCCAAGATTTCTGTTCCACCTGTCTCCCCCAGAATGAGACTGAGGGCAACTGCCAATAAAATGAATAAAACAAGTACAGGTTAAAAAAGAAGGGGACAGGTTTATTCAAACAGAACTTAAAAAAATTACTTTTTTAGAATTAGAAAATCCTGCCATCCTGGCTGCAGGATTCTGGGAGTCATATTCGAACCTTTTCCAAGCCCTAATTAAAACATCCGCTAACTTGAAAAGCATTTAGAAACCAATCAGTTATATGTATATATTTGAAAAGGAAAGCCTGCCTGAATGAAGCCCTTTCAAAATACCAACTCTACTTAACTGCCAAAGGCTTTCTTGTCTTCCACAAGTGCTGTTCAGAACAAAGTGTTGTTGTTTGAACTTCTGTTTATTGGTTGTAGGACTTTAAGAATAAGGCTAACTTTAAAACATGAACAAATCTAATATTGACCCTTTCCCTTGTGTTTTCCCCTTGCCAGAGTAGTGGGGAGATCAGAGACTCTTTTCTATAAACAAATTCTTTTGAAGCAGAAAAGCTCCGGTTTCCTATGTCAATAATTCCCTTCATTTCATTAATAATACTCAACTAAAAATGTACAGGTGAAAAAAACAAGCACGCAGGGAGACAATACGAGTCCCAACTAACCTCAGCTGAATAGAATTACAAGCGGATGATGACATTTTCTTACCTCCTATTCTGATCTCCCTAACATACAGGGCTTGTCTAGACGATCAAAATAATCCTGGTAGAATGTAAGTAGGACCTGTCTTATTCACACGCAAATCGAATACACCTGACTTACTTTTGTGGGGGGCTGCCAAAACCCCCGCGAAAACTGGGATATACGATCCTGTTTCCCACCACCACCACACACACACACCCATTGAATTCTAAAGGATTCGCATTGTTAGCTGCGTGAATAACCGAAACGGATGGACCCAGGATAAAACTGTGCATGTGTTGAATGTGTTTCGACTCCATCTTTATTTGCACTGATGACACGTGTGGGCGACAGAACTCACAGAGATGGCCATAGATGTGGTTCTGATTTTTAAAAAATAGTGTGAACAACAAATCTGGAATGTGTGACTGAAATTATTTGTATAGTGGCATTGCAAAGCAAAATGTGTAGATAGTGATGCCTCTGCTAGTACCAGGTACTTTTTCTAGAGTATTAACCAGAAGTGGGTAAATTGTGGTTCATTGGCTGCTTGTGCCTCTAAGGCCATTTCTATAGCTTCCAGTCTCCTTTTGGCCCCGTCCAGTGTCTCTGCCTCAAAAATCCAGGGCAGAATCCTGTTGGGGTGTGTGTGTATGTGTATGTGTATGTGTGCACATGCCTTCAGGTCTCCTTTCAACATATGGTGATCCCATAAATTTCATACATTCTTAGACAAGGAACCTTCAGAGGTGGTTTTGCCAGTCCCTTCCTCTCTGACATATTTTAGTTGTTTTAATGTTTTAATGTTGGTTGTTATCCAACCATTTTTAACTGATATGTAGTTTAATCCACTTTTAAGGGGGGGAGGGTGTTATTTCATTTGACTGTATGAAATTTTATTGTAAACCGCCTAGATTGGTCCGCCACCGGGCGGTATATAAATAAATTTTATTATTATTATTATTATTATATAGCTTTCAGCACCTGGTATCAGTTGGTAGTCTCCGATCCAAGTACCATGCAAGCCTGACCCTGCTTAACATCCAAGATGAGATCTGGTGCCTTTAGGGTATTTTGCTCAAGAAAAACCTAGTGATTCACCTTCGGTCTGAAAACAGATATTGATTTTAGCATTCAAAATTTCAGCAATCCAGTGTTCCCTCCTACCCACCTACCCACCCAGGAAAAGTGAAATGATTTGCTATGTGTATGTGTAAATGCCTCTACAGAAGGAGCTAGGCATTTTTGTCCAATGTGGAATAGACAACATATTTAGTTTAAATGTTGGAGCAGTGAAATAATAATAATAATAATAATAATAATAATAATAATAATAATAATAATAAATTATTTGTTTATAGCCCGCCCAATCACAAGGAATCCAGGTGGATTATAGCAATATAAAATACATAGACTACAATAAAATTCAAAATTAAGTGTAGCATGTTTCCAGATTTAGTCACCAATATACAATTTTAGCCACCAACATACAATACCACTTTACATATACTTTTCTATTTTCGTTGCTTGTTTTAGGATGGGATGCGCATTTGGTTAGAATTTAGGTTGTGAAATTGAGAAATTTTAATAATTCATAGACATACAGTTTTGGAACAGGTGGTCTGTTTTATAGCATCACTCTTTTTGTCTTGTGTTGAATATGTAAGGGTGTGCATTTTAAATTTCTTCTTCAAAATAAAATAGAGCAGTACACTCCTCCTCTGATGGTGCTGAGAAGGGCAGTTGTGAATGTGGCACCACTGTGCATGCACATGTACATTGCACATGGATGCACAGTGTGCCTTGTGCACAGGTGCATGAGCACATGTGGTTGTGCATTCAGTTGTAGATTTGATATCTTGGTTCAGTGGTGCAACATTGCCATTCAACACAAGAGCTGCGTGACACAATTAATGCATAACTCCACATGTGGAGATTTACGTTGCAGAACAGTGATGTAGGATTTCAGACATCATTCTTTTTTATTAATTAATTAATTATGCATGCTCCTGAAGTCTCCCAGGACCAGCATTTTGTAATAACTCTCCCACCACAAAAAAAATAAAAAATATATTATACTGTTTGGTATGGATTGGGTCTGATTGGTTTTGCAAAGGGTGGATAGGGAGGCCAGAGGATGTAATTCTAGCCTTTCTGCAACTTCACAGCATTGCATCCCTAAGCATGTGTCAGTCATGATTGATTGATGCTCCTTAAAAAACATCTATGCATAATTGGATTGATCCCTGCAAGCCAAGGGCAGCAAATTGGCCCCAGTGACCCACTGTTGCCTCTCTTGAGACTAGCCATTAAGCAGTGCAACATCCACAGTAGGGCTTCACGATCCTGCTGCACTAATTGCAACTGTTCCTTCATTAGGAATGCTTAATTAGCCAGTGTTCGCACTACAGGAAAGCAATGGAAAAGCTCCTCTGAATAAATCCTGCCATGTTTTCTAAAGTGCCTGTGTGGTTTGAATGTTGGATTCTGGGAGATCAAGGTTTGATTCCTCACTTGGATCAGTAAACCTTGGTTTGACCTTGGACAAGTCACACTCTCTCAGACTCAGAGAAAGGCAAGGACAAACCTTTTTGAAAAAAATCTTGCCAAGAAACCCTCATAGTAGATTCAGCTTAGAGTTGCCGTATGTCATCCAACCACCCTGGCTTTAGGCAACGTCTTTCCTACTGTCTTTGTCCCTCAACAACCATAGTTAAAACGGAACTTGTCACCTCATCACCCAATTCATACAGTCTGATTATAAAGGTCCTTCCTGGTTCACTCCATGCACCCGAGGAAGGAGACCAAGTT